TTAGTTAGCATAAATCAGTTAAATGACGAAAAATTAGGTGTCTGTTTACTTGTGACCACTCAGTGTACGGTGCCAGTTTGTGATGCAAACAGCATTAGACTATACTTTTCCACCAATACAAGGTGGACACATTCTTCTTATGCAGTACTCCCCCTGAGTACTTTGTTTATATTAAAAACTAATTATTTTTCTTTGCACTGCAATAATCAGTCATATTCGTTTTTTCATTATGAATTATGAAGGTTTGTGCTTATTATTTTCAATGTTTGATTAACATTAAAAATGTTATCTTTCTTACTTCATTTTCTTTATTTCAAGAAAGAAAGATGCAGATTTTAAAACTGATTTTAATTAAAGCTTCTGAGTATAGATTGTCTTTTTTACTTTAACTTTTTCTCTTAATCAATTTACGAGATTTTGGGACACATTCCAAAGCTGCGACGAGGTTTCTTTGACAGAAGTATTCCCCATCATCATCAACCCAGTGTTCAGGTTTTTACAATTCAGCTAAATTTTGTCTATATGAAAATGATCAAGGCCTCAGTACCACATACTTACCAGACCTACTACTAAAAAATATGGAGTAATAAAATTATGTTACTATTTTCATGCATTCAGCTTTGTAGATCTTATTATATATAACTTCTCATATCCACATTTCTGAAACCTCTTGAGTTCCAGACTCTCTTATTTTTCTTAACTGGTGACTAGAGTTACTCTTATGGTGAGCATTGTTACCACCATTTTACATGACGTTGCTGGTTTTATCCTACATTCTTCATGTTGGACCTGTAACTTCTGGTGAGCCTGCCTAGTCTTTAGACAACTTTGACTAACTCCTTCCACAATCTGCCTTTGCTTTTAGTTATTCTATCCCTGATATGGGTCAGTAATGCTCTCTTGTCAGGGATATGATGTTTGTCCTTTTACTTCAATAGTTTCTGCTAATTCTCAGGTGAGTTTCTTGCATGCACCTCACACTCATAAGATTTTTTGCTCGTACTCCTTTCTTGCCAGAGTGTTGCATTATTGTAAAATTTGTCTGAGAATATGAAGTGGCCATGACTATTTGCATGGATTGGTTTGCTCAATTTTTTAATTATTTGTCCTTTTTTTTTAATAAAAGATTATGTAATGTGGATTTGGCCTCTTACAATTACTTCCAGCTGACAAACCTCACTGAAACATTGGTTGGATAGAAATATCTTTCTTATACTTTGATACCCAGCAGAAATGAAGTGTTCTTATGAGAAGCTTCCTGTTGGTACTTTCTGGGTAGTATTAATTTGTCTTGAGCTACCATCTATATCTTAAGGCGGTAAGTATATAGCTAATCGCTCCATAAATATATCAACCTAGGGCAATAGGACCACTGATTCCTCAAATATAGCTTCATATTTTATACTGGGTTTGACCCATATGAGTGCAGTTAGTTTTTCAATATATTATAAGACAATAAGTAGGATCAGAAATATCAACAATAAACAATATTCTTATAGCAAACTAAAGTAAGAGATTAATTTTTTACTTGTGTTACATGGCCAAGACCTGTGTATCCTTTGGCTGCCCCATTGACTAAATATGGTAATTGGTACATTGCTTAAGGTTTTTGTATGGGCTGGATTCTTTACAATAGGCATCTGTGACTTGTCAGTGATTAGTGCATGGTTAATGATTAATTTTTCTAATTAACCAATGATTATCTAATTAAAAATTAAAACTTTCTGAAAAGGTGAAAGACTTTTATTGTTTCATTTATGTCATACCATCAATAGAAATACAGCTTGTTAATTATAACATTTTTTCAGAGACGAGCACAATTTTGTATCTAGACTAGGAGCTAACACCACTAAGATGTCTCTACATTATTTGGAGGTATTAACATTCGATTAAAAATGTTTTATAATGACTTCAGACATTCCTTGGTGCTTTTCATAACAGGCATTCCTATCATTATTGTTTATTTTATATGAGGTAAGACAGAAGAAAACCCAGCTTGTCAATAGTATCATCGGTTAAAGAAGTGCACAATTTTGTAACTAAGAGGCCAAATGCACTAAAACCTTGGTCGACTTGGTTATATAGTGTGGCTGTGACCTCTACAATATTTTTTCCACCACTATAGCTGTGCATATATAGGCCTATTTGCCAGTTGTTAACGTCTCCTTCTACTGCCATTTACCACTGTAGATCCTGGCTGGATCGCCACTGTCAGGTTTGTGTTGTACAGGTCGGATTATTTATGGTAGATGTCTGTGACGTGTTGGCAATAGATTTCAAAAATAAACAAACAGCATATAGTTTGTTACATTTATCTAGCATAAAATGGTTTAATGGGCTGGATAATTATATCTGTAACAACACTAGTGCTAAAATTTGTAAAGGATGATTTTCTTGAATACACATATTTTTTCTATTGAAAAAGCCTAGATTGAAGCTTGACATAAAGAATGTAAAGGGCAATTACTACTAAAAGCTTGAAGTCCTTATCTGAATGTTTAGCTATGGTGCAAAATGCAGATTCAGTTCTACATTTTTTAATTAGATTTCTGATTAAGAGAAATAAAGTTATTGCTATCTTATACATTACAAGATTCCCCTTTCTGATTTCTCTGAAGTAAATAAGAGTTAGAGATGACTTGCTTCAGGTGTGTAGAATATAGATTTAGTCAGTTACTGTGTTGTTCTGTTTCAGTTATGGAATGTATAGGTTAGAAATACAAGACTTAAATATTAGGAGTAATAGGTGTAATCCAAGAAAGCCAAGAAGATGGTGTTTTTCATCAACAATATTATTTATAGATTACTTCTACAAATGTGAAATGATATGATGAAGATGTGCGTGTATGTGTATGCTGTTAATTTAAGATATTTTTAAGTTCTATTGGATAGCTTCATTTAGTTTTGCTTTTGCTATGGTTAGGTAGATGGAGGAGTGAACATGGCAATTTGAATGATTGCTGTTGTATGTCTTTTGTTTATGAACTACATGACATTTTTTTAGGTATACAGAAGCATATTATTAGCTTGGGAACTGGTGCTGTACTTGGGGAGATGTTCTATAACCGTCAGAAACGTATTACTGCAGAGAGAGATGCTGTTATCAGACATTACATTCAACTTCATCCAGAAGACTTTCCAGAACTAGGTAATGTGTGAAACTTGCTAATATTTCTTTATTGTATCATTTATTCAAACATGATGATGTTCACATTAGTTTTTCTTTATTCAGGTATATCATTTCTTTAATGAGGTCATTTCTGAACATGGCAGTGTACACATATTTTTTCCATAGTCACGTATATTATTTCTTTAACCAGATCATCTGTGATCATGACGTCACATTGCAGAAGTTGAGTATCATCATCATGATTTTCCTAAGTCCTGCCCTTACAGCTGTTCGAAATGAGCACAAGAGTCATAGGATCACTTCTACACATTCCTTGTAATGTTTAATGAAATCTCACCCAATCATTGTAAAGAAGAAAGAATACAGTTAATGAAGCACAAACATGACTTCTGTACCACTGTTTATTACTGATTTTTAGGTTGTTGATTTGCACATGACTATGATCCTCAGAACATTTACTGACAATCAGATGATTTTTAATTCATTAGGTATGAATTAATGGTGACTTCTGATTCTTGCATACATTAAAAAGCCATTAAGTTTGGACCATTAAATCCATATCAGTACATTATAGGCATTAATCATTTGTAAATTGATCAAAATCACTTTTTCCAATTTTATATCATTCTGTTCATTGTGATGTTCAGCATTTGCTCTCTAATTCAATTGGACTTAAATGGGGAATGTCTAAAACTGATCAAGTTGGTATTCAGTTGTTACAATGTTACCCCTAGTGAAACACGGCTTTTGGCATATTCATTAAAACTACAAAAACAATAACCTACAGTTCCAGGTTTTTCTCTTCAGACTTGCATAGGCTTCACATTGTTTCTGCCATGTCGTACAAGTTTTTTTTTTCTCGTCCACTTCTTTCCATTGTACTGTGTATATACCATTCCACAGACAATTGGTTACTGTTGGCAACATCTCGTCAATTGTTAAACCATCACATCCTGATTCTATTTTTGCTCCAATTCAATATGTCATCAGTCTGGGTATTTTTTATCTTATCTCTCAGTCGGGCTTAGCTGTCTCTTATCCTGCTCAATGTTATAGAATAGGATGCCACACTCTTACTTATCTCTCTTCTTCCCATTGCATGGATGTTCTTTCTCTTCGGGGAATGTCGGCATCACTCGATTCTTTAGTGCCTTTGGTACAAGAACACAAGTGATCCTTTTATTGGTCTTTAAGTGATCAAGGATCATATACATCTATTTACTGGTTTCCCTAGTTTCCTTAGTTGGGATCATTCTTCTATCTCAAGGGGTTGTTAAGTTGGGACACTCTTATAATTTGGGTTCCTCTACTGCCACCTTATCCAGAATTCCATTCTTTTCACGAATGCCTTGCTTCATGGATGGGGTGCATATACCAACAGTCAGGAATTTCAGAGTCTATGCACGGATGATGAGGATCCCCAACACAATATTTTCATCCTTCTTGTTCTTCAACAGACAAGGTCTCATGGTCTGGACTTCTTAAGGAGTAAATAGTCAGGTTTCACTCTGACTGTTCTGTAATGGTGTCTTATGTTTCTCATCAAGGAGGCATGTGGTCTAGGGCTCCTTATTTTTGAAGTTTGGACCTCCTTTCTTGGGATTAGTCCTATCTTATCACCCTTCTAGCTTGCTATGTTCCATGAGTGATGCCTGTGGTAGCAGGTTCATTGTCTCAATACAAAGAGATTCTCCCGACAGATGTTGCATTGCACGGTTCTGTTGGATTGGCTCTCATTTTGCAACTCTACTTGGTGGGTTGGCTTCTCATTGGATCACCCAACGTCTGTCAATTTGATCTCCAGTACCTCATCGTTGGGCTTTGGCAGTAGCTGCTTTCCATCTGGACAGGTTGGAATTACCACTCTAAATCTTCTCTCCACTTCATATGTTACTCAGAGTATGAAATAAGATTTGTTCCAACCCACTGTCAGATCCTGTTGATAGCACAAGATTGGCTGCTACACCCGGGTTTCTGCTTCTGCAGTCCCTTCTGGTGTGTCCAACTCTTCCACTTCTTTTCAGGCTCCTGCTGTGGAGGCACCCATGATCTGATATGATACACCTGGCTATCCAGAAGCTCAAGCTTCTGGCATAGAGGTTATGCCGTCTTTCACATGACATTGGGGTTTAATTTCTAATGTTGATATGTATCTGTCTCAGTTTCTGCTTAGTCCAAAAGACAATTTTATCAATGGTAATGACATCTATATTGGCAATGTTGTATTCAGAGGAGATTGAACTCTTTTTTTTTTTTTATTCAGTTGTGTCAACCATAAGTCATTTTTTGACTTGGCTATTTGACAGAGGTGTTTTCATCTTCCACAATCGCCATTGTTTACATCGGCTTTAACGACTACCGTTCGATTATAGCGACTACATATGTTTTGAGTCCTCAGTACTCTCCAGATTCCTCATATGATTTTGGGTAATTGGGCCCAAATGACCATTCCAGTTACCTAGATTAAGGTTACTTGTTCTTTCACTTGTTTGTGACCTGAATCTTATATGCCATGTATCCCCTTTACCTTTACTTTATTTTTTGTTGCTGCTGACTTTTGGACATCACCGGTCAGAGTGATTTGTGCTGTTTGTCCACAGACCACTTTCTCATTCTCTATACATCTTCAGACCAGTTCTTCTTACCCAACACTCTGTCAGACAGGAAAGGGGTTCAGTCCTTTTCTTTGATTCACCTGTTTACCCTTTCTCTCAATGTCCAATCTTGATTATTTTCAGTGAGGGTCTTTAAGGTTTCGTTGACTTCACTTATACCTTTAGTGATGCTAGACAACTCTTTATTCTGGGCTGTTATAAGGGGGGGAGGGTAAGTTAATTATTCAAAACACGTGTTGTACATGGAAGTAAAGACACTAAATGTAACTTTCAATATCTAGTAGTACTGCCTGTTGTATCTGCCAGAATCCAACCTCCATCAGGTATGGAATTGATGAGATTCTGTATCACAGTTTTGTCCATATTGTCCTATATGTGAGTGAGTGTGACCATCAGTTGATTCATATGTGGATGGGTTGGCCATAGTTTCCTATTGAGATGTTCCTAAAGATGTTCAATAGCTTCTTCCCTGGGCTTCACAGAAACCTGATGTAAATCCTATAAGACAAACTATCACGACTCTCTCTCGTCGTACGTACGTCGTACGTACGTACGTACTACTACTACTAACTAACTAACGTACTACGTACGTAGTACGTACGTACGTACGGTAACG